CTTAAGGATGAAAGTAGTTTAGTGTCTGCTGCCATCTGCGTGCAAGGGAAAGGAAATTCCAAGACAGTTTAGACACACACCCCCTCAAAAATTACACTGCTTCATTTCTAAGGCTATCTTACAGAGACAGAGGAATAGAGTTCTGCACACAGGTGAAAAATACTAAGAATGAAATACTTAGTCACTTTAAAAATAAGCTTTCTTTAAATTTTCCTTTTTTCTTTAAAACAAACAAACAAAAAAAATCCAAAACACACAAAAACCCACCAACCAAAAACTTAGTGTATTAAACCCGAAGTTTCCAGCTTGCATTTTTGCAAGCCAAATCAAAGAGAAGCACAAAGCCTGTTAGTTCCAGACTGACGGAACTGACAGAACTGCGTGGAACCAGTGCTTGAGGTTGGAGTTGCACAGCTGCCAAGCAACACTCCCCCTGCTCTGTCACCCCACAGCTACGCTGCACTGAAAAGTGAAGGCCCAGGAGCAGGACAAGCCACCTGGGCAAAATCAAATGACACCCAACAAAACCATGGAGAACTTGGATGAACAAGAGGGGGAAACACTGAAAACCTGGGAAGTAGCTGCAGAACTCAAAGAAAGTTAAGGAGTAATTTAAAATTGGAAAACTCACAGCAGAAACATCCCTTGTATAGTTGCTGGTCTCTTAAGCCACCAAGAAAAAGGACTTTCTACTCGACAAAATTATTAACTCGTGATTTATGGAAAGGACACTCCAGTAATCATTTACCCTTGAGCACTGTACAGCTGGGAATACCAGGCATATATGCCTTTAAAGGCTGAAAAACTAAGTTAAGCAGGCCACAGAATCAGATAACCACAATGGAAAAGCTAGAAAAACATCTAAAATATACTCCTGCCAAGAACTGCTTTTCTGAATGTTTCTCACTGCTTTGGCAGTTTGAAATAATCAAAAGGAATTCCCAAGGGCATCCCACACAAAGAGAGTTACAGCCAATTTGCCAGAATTTGGTTTCCTTTTTATTTCTAATGCTTCTCAGAACAGAGTCAGCATCAGTGTTCTGGATCCGAACGCCAAATCAAATCAGGGATCCACATGAAAGCGAAGAGACTCGCACCCTGCTGAGAATTGCAGCTGAGGCCTTTACTACCTCTGGCAGCACTGTCAGCTGCAAATGGTTCTTGGTCAGTTGTCTGACTTGTTTTAAAGGTGAACTAATAATATGCCAGTCAGAAGACTACTTGATATTCAGGAGGGTAGAGGACACGATGAAAGCGATAATGGGAAGTGAGCGTACCTGCTACACTGTTTTATTCTGGTCTGCCCTCAATTTCAGGTGACAGGAAAAGATTCACCTCTTCTGGGTATTTATTCAGCATCCAGAGTTAGACACGGACTGGTGCTAGAGCTCTGAGTTGACCACAGGCTTTCAGATCTGGTGCTGACAAGTTCAGAGTTGCTTGCTAAGCTTTTTAATGGTTGGTTTGTATCTTTGGCTAGAATAGAGCTTATACAGAAAACCTTGCAATTTCTGTAATACTTTAAATCTGTGGAAAATTTGAAACACAAAGATCTGTGACTTCTAGCTTTTAAAATTTTGATGCAGTATAATTTTTAAAAATGAGTTAATGGAAATGAGTATCAGTGTTTCAATCCCACCCCAATACTTGGAGTCTCCCCAACAACCTCTGACAACTGACCAGTGACCACATACAGTGCTGTCTGCAGGTACTACAAATAAACAACTTTACTAGATCAGACCTAGGGCTCAACTAATCCGCTACCTTCTCTCTGACAACAATCATTACAGACTGCTAAAAGAAGAGTTCAAACACAATCAGGCAGCGATACTCTCCCAGCTTCTACATACTTGCACTGCAAGAACTTCCATTAGCCAAAGCTGATCCCTTTATTCGACGGTCTGAGATTGATTTGTCTTCCGTTCATTTATAACATTGTTCTGCACCTATGTAAGCTTTTAGCAACTGAGACATCCTGTGGCAAGGCAGGCTCTATTATCTGTGGTGAAAAGTGATACTTTGATTTGCTTTGAACCTCCACCTTCCGGTTTCCTTTGAGGCCCTCTTAGCCCTCCTATCAGAAGGATGGCAAGTGACTGACCTCAGTTCAGTCTTCACGATCCTCAAAGACATCATCGCATATTCCCTGATTCAGCTCTCTTCCAATCTATTGTATTACAGAAGTCTTTTCATATCCTGGTCAACTCTCACACTTCTCTGGTCCTTCCTCAGCTACCAATTTACTTTATGGGGAGATTTGCGCTGTACACGGCACCTTCAAGATGAGGGTGCGCAATGAGATCATTACGTTCTCAGGTTTCATCTCTACTCCTTTCTTCAGATTCTTAGCATTTGGGTTTTTATTTTGTTTGATGGCTGAGCATTAAATTAGTGTCTTCACAGATTTAAATGTAGCTCTTGTTCCTGAATTCAATTCAGTGCCAACCACGTAGATAATGAATGTTCCCTTTTCCCTTGTGTGCATTACCTTTGTCAACACTGAATTTCACCTTCTGCTTTATCCACAAAGTCCTGCAAATTCTGTCCTGTTGGCTCTAGCCTTTACTAACCTAATACTACTATCTTTATAATAAATTTTAACATTTTAACTAATAATTCTGAACCTATGAAAATCCTCAAGCCCACAAAATGTTAAAAGCGTTCAGTATTTCCATGGTGCCTATACATTTACACTTAATACACCCAAAGCTAACTTCCAAGAAAATCTCGTATGTTAAAAATAACGTGAGAGAACTGCTTGATATTATTTTAATATTACAAATCCGGACGTTGCCCACCTCCCCAGGAGACTTCAGAAAAGCAAAGAACCAAGTGGACAAGATAAAAAAAAATAGAGAGATTACACAAAACAAAGTTATCAGAAGAGAAATAAGCTACAGACCCTATCGGAATTCCAGTCTCTCTACTGGGAAATCCCTGCATCTCTCTTACTCTGAACATACTGTATCATGATTCTAGTCCACTGCATCCGTTTTCTTCCCCGGGGACACAGAAGTTAAGTCTTACTAAGTGGCTGTAGGCATGGATACTGTTGCAGGACAGCGGACTAAATAAAGCCTAAGTAAATGAGGCTGGTCAGGGATGGCTGCAGATTAGCAGAGCGCGGCCCGTTAGCAAGCTACCCACAAACCAATAAAGCAGCCAGGCAAAAGGATAAGGTAGTAGAAATGGATACAGGGTCAGGACCTTATTGGAAACTTCTTCTCCACTGTGACACAAAGGTTGTGACAAGTGCAGAAACGTAACTATTTCTATTTTACTATCTCCCAAATACCTCTGCAAGGGAAATGCCAGCTACCAAAACACCAAACGTTGTTAAACGGGGGAAAAGCAGCTGAAGTGAGAGGTAACATGTTTAGGCTATGCCTTCTCTAGTGACTCCAGCTTCCTGTGCTACTTAAACCCAATGTGGTATTGCGTTAGAAATTTATGCAAGTAGTGTCATTGTAAACATTATTCTTAATTACACAATGACCTATCATTAGGAATGGCCACACCAAGCCAAATTTGTGAGGTAAAACACGTGCGTGTGCATGCACTTCAAAGCTTCAGAAAGAAGCAGCTTCGAAGAGACACTGCATGTCCTCTTACTTCATTTTAATAAATCAGGAAGTTCTCATTCCAGCCTTGTCCATCTCCCCAGGTATGGCTTCCATCAAAAAGATGGCAAGAACTTAAAACATTCAGCATGCCTTTACAATAATATGACTGGTTTTTGATGTAGAGCTCAGCCAGAGTGGAACGTATCACGTGTGATTTTATATCTTCCAGCGTAAATTCTGGGAGAAACTCACAATGCTTCCTGTGCCACTTCATCTGTTAACCCACTGGCCTTGCAAGTACGATTTCCCTGTGCAAAACCACACAAGGGATAGAATCTTTTTTTTTTTTTGAAGGTAAGTTTTGAGTCACATTTTCTAGCACTTGTTTTTCACTTTAGATTTATCTTCAAATTCAGCCCTAATTTCATTCAAGTCTGTCTTGAAATAAAATAAAAATGAATTACTAACTGTATTGCATTAAATAGGCCAGATGCCATCATCAAACACGTGTGTACCGTTTTTATTTGTTGGGAAGCAATATAAGATATGTTGGGTATGATGTGCAGCTATTGGTCTCAGAGCCATTAGCCCACGAGCTTCTTTTAATTAGAAAAGCCAACACCATTATGCAACAATTCTGCGTGGGCAGTATCTGCTTCATTCCCATCAAGTTAATGTATCACTGCCCTTGCGTAACACACAGCAGCACTGAAATGATCTCTTTCCATGGTTTAGATCACTGCTGTTTAACAATACTGTTTAAGGGTTTGAAGATTTTGGCTTGCAGGCCACTAGTCTTTCCTTAATTTAAGCCTATTAATAGTCTGGCCAGCTACACCAGCACCTGGGATTAAAAGGTGTATTTTAAATGGGAAGCATTCTGAGTTGCTCACTCATTTCTTTTGAACACATTCAATAAACAAGTTATTCCACAAGAATGAGATAGGTGAAGGCTGTGCCCTTTGCTACTATATATTCCCTGTAACAGTCCCACAATCCCATCTTTCCTTTTAAGCAAGACAACTGCATTTGTGATATCCAGGTCAGACTTAAGTGTGATGACAGGAGAAGCAGGACACGCTATTTTGGTAAACAATGCTGCCAAACAGATGATAGTTTTGCCCATCTTTTCTCAAGCGGGGTTATTAAATTCGTATTCCTGTTCTTCCCAGCTGCCCAGTGTTTTCACAACACTTCAGAGCGTAATTATCTTTGAGACTTCTACCTCCTTCATATTCAGTTTAACTGGGATGAAGGATTCAAAAGTTATTGCTGTACCACCTATCCATCTCGACTGCACACCTTATTTGCTTAAAGAAAAAGGTCAAAATGAAAACCAAATCTAATGTGATGTTGGAAAACACACAAGCATTCAGCACACCCAAAAATTTAGTATCAATATATGGCACCCATCTCTAAATACACACCAAAACATACCGTTTTTTCCTCATTTTCAAAGGCTTCTCTTGCTTCTTCATAGCTACAGATTTCTTCCCTGCATTCATGTTCTATGTCACCTTGCTTTAATTCTTCCAAAAACGTGTTGGCTCTCGGGTATCTTCTTAACACAGAATTGGCTTTGTCCTCCGTTAAGAACACTGAATAAGAGGAAAACCAACAAAGGTCACTTCTATAATAGATACTCAAAACCTCATGCTAAAACTGCTCAAAGAAAATACACTTCGGAGAAATGAAGCGCTTTTTCAAAGTCCTTCCCCTTATTTAATATGATAAGAGGCCTTTCTGGTTTTATTCACTACTGTAAGTAGTTGGGCCTACAATTTCAGTGGGTATTGCTAGAATGTCATAAAGATGATAGACTTCAATTCAGCATCACAGTCATGTATGTTTAAACCAGATTGAAACTGGAGCCCAAGAGGGCTCAGAGGAGACCAGCACATGCTCAGCTCAAGCAATTTCTTAAACTAAGATGACACAGAACAAACAAATCCTGCTTGTGAACATCCAAAAAGATACTCCCAAATGCCTGATGGCATCACAGCCAGAATGCTCTGAAGTTTTTGATATAAATATTTGTGGATGTTACCCAGTTATACAAACCAGAACAGCTACATTTATCAATGTTGAAGTCTGTAAGTTTTCTTAAGCAACTTTGAAGCAGACTTGCTCCCTTCACTCCAAAATGTCCATACTGAAACAGTGACCCTTTTAGGGGTACGGGGGGGAAGTAGCCTTTCTATTTTCTTGAATTGTGCACAAAACCTCACCTTAGTTGATGAATCAAAACAACCCCAACAGGCAACCAACACTTTGACACAGGTAGTCTTTATTTGCTTTCCTTAGTTTTCAGTTTAAGAGAGCTGGAACCTCTTTTCTTCTGACGAAAAGAAGGGAGTTTTCCCTCTAGACTCCATGCTTTTTACAGCAACCTGCAGCAACTGGAAGCTCCAGAACTCAGCAGGCTGAATTACCGGGGAGGCACACTGGCAGTGAATGATGCGGAAGTTCTCCAGGTATTTCAGGTCAGGAAGCATGAACATAATTTCAGTGCAACACTGTTCTTGGGCTTCCACTGCCAGCAAGAGGGGTTAATTATTCCATGTACTGCCATACTAATGCACTCAGACCACTTTCCTGACCTATGCAATCATTTCTGCATTGGTTCATTTACAGCTAGTCGGGGGCTACCAACATGCTATGAAGATAAACCCTCACTACCTGCTGAAGGACAGAGATTGGCTGGTGTCAGCAATGATTTATCTATAATTTTATATGAATCAGTTTGGTTGTGTTTTTTCTTAATCATTTAATGTTGAATTTTAAAAAAGAATAGCAACAAGTCTACAAAGATGGTCACTACAGTCTTGCCTTCTCATAAGACAGATTTGGTTGCATTTTTAATCAATGAGGCTACTCCCATGATTAGGCTGATCTACTTTAATTCTGTTTAGTCTCTGTGGTATACTTTGTTATAAATCATTAGACAGTCATCTTCCTTTTGCAAAGGATTAAATGAAGATTTGAAGATTAAACTCCAAAACACCAGTCACTCTCATACCTTCATAACCTCACAAATTACACTATTCATGATGTTGCCAGACGTTAAGTGCAAGCAGCTCCACAGCTGCACCTATTGCAATTTTGGTTTTCTACAGCACCACCAGTGAGCACATGGGCATCTCCTGTTGTGTGAGTTCATTGACTAAACATAGAAATTAATACTAAAAAAAGTATCTTCTGAAAGGAAAGAAAAAAAGGATAGATTCTTCCCATTTCCCACACAATTCTCCTGACTCCTCTCTAGGCCTGAAGAACTTCAACATGCCTCAGTGACCACCTAAACATGATGAGACTGACTTGTCCACACCAAGGAGCCAGCACACAGCCATGCATGAGGATGGACTACCAGTGCTCCACCTCCTTCTCACCAACTCCTCCTGTGGGCATTGCTGAAGCAGAGCAAGCTAAAGCCCAAACTCTCTCAAGAGCACCCATATGTGGAGTCAGTGAAGAGTAGATAATGCACTATAAATCAAGCTTCCCTTCCTTCAGCAGATAAAACCTAGGGAATTTCACCTCACAGATGGAATCTATGCCTGAAAAGGGCAATGAGAGAAACTACAACAGCTTTGTACTGGATGCAGAGGGAAAAGAAATAAAGAGGAAAACACATGTAACTGAAAATGCCCTGATTTAAAGCTTCTGGCTCTCAGAAACAACATACAATCCTTTGTTTCTTCATGCACTTTCCCATTTACCAAAGCAGCGAACTGAGAATAAAGACTAAAAGCTGGTATGTTACAAAACATTGCTATTGATACACATTGGGATGGGAATAGTTTAGTTCTCCAAAAAGAGATGAGCATACATTTCTGCTTCTAAATGCACTGACGAAGAATAGCATTAAAATAATTCAGCATTCAAGAATGGCTAATATATGGCTATCTTAAAAACCCAACTTTCTCATTTAGCAATTCATATTCAGAAAGTGTCTCTCTTCTCTCACAATACAGTATAAAAAAAATGTATACATCACAGACAAAAAAGCCCATTGAGAAAAATAAACCACACCCTGCATTAATTCTGAATCTATCTGATAAATAATGATCTATGATTAGTGCAGACCAGGAATGGCTTTTGACCCTGCAAAGCTGGAAAAAATTAAGCACATTCATCTCTGTTCTGATCTGACATTTTTAAAGCTCTGAACACTCCTAGTGACTTTAAATCCTATTGAGAAGTCAATACAAACATAGCAAAGAAACATAAAAACATACTCCGATCAAAGCAATCTTGATGGAGATACTGATTGAAATACAGTGATTTAATGAGAACCACTCATTCCTTGATGAATCCTACAAAAAAAGATAATGGAACCATAATGCAGAAACTACTTTGACTTCTTAGTATTCCAGGACCATCGTCATGTAAACATTGTTATAATTGCAAAGGAATGTTAAAAAAAAAAATGCTTTGGGTTGGATGCCCACCTGGCCAAGCTATAGTGTGGCTGAATTCACTACAGCTGTTACTATGGAGCTGAAGATAATTAGGGAATAATTGCATGTGGCAATAATAAAGTAATGAAGCAAGATAAATTTTACTTTTTCACTTTAGGGAGATTAACTAACAAATACAAGATAAAGGAAAAATCAAAATTAGGATCTTGGCATTATGTAAGACAGACACAGAAACATATAACCTAAAGTCTCTTCCTCTACCCCAGTTTTTTTAGAATATAGATAGATCACAACTACAGAATTTAATGCATTTGAATACATTTCTTTCTTCAGTCATACTTGTGCTCTGTGTATGAACTGCAATATTTGGCTTTCAGCAAGTTTTATGCTTCAGAAAGTGACAAAGAAAATAATTCCAAAGTCTTAGTTTCACTTGTCATTACTGAAGAGAGTAATACAGTCAGATCAATCTATTATACATTCTCCAGAAAACCTGTGTGCTATCATAATACCAAGCAGATTACTCTAGCAAGGTGAAATTCAATCAGAATCAGAGACAGGGAAGGACATGAGATGATAAATACGTCTCAGCCTGCCAGCTGAAGTTGTCACAGGCCAAGAAAATAGGCTTCAGGTCTTCAGTGATAAAAGGAATGGGGAGCAGCAGCGTGGGAAAAGTACTGAGACACAAAAATGTTGCCGAAGCAAAGCTCAGGGCATCCTGTACCCCAAACCCAGCTCTATTGAGACCATTACTAAGGCTTCCTTTTTCTGACTCCTTACCAATACACAAGCAGATTAAAACTACAACTAAATACTAGAAATATACATTTAATTTTAAATTTGGAGCTGCAGGTACTGATAAATTTGAACCTTTCTGTAGATTATCTTAATATAACTATTTGGTTTGCATAGGGCAGAAGGGAGAAAAGTGATGTCAGCATTTACTTATAAGGCTTAAAAAGTGACCTGCTCTGAGAATCCGGAGTGACCAGGACAACCCTAAAAGCAGTTAAAACTAAAGTACTGAAGGCTGAAAATTCAGCTTGGTGGTCTTCATACTGCAACCAGCTTTCAAAGCTCCACAAATGAGTCTGTGATGATTATTATGGTCTGCATATAATATGTGTCAGAACAGTAGTATGATTCCAGGTCAGTTTAGTGTGGGCAAAGATCTGCATCATATGTAACACCAAAACCAGTTCAATAGGAGGGCAGGGTTTTTTTTTGTGCAAACTGACTGGGATTTTGAGCAGAGGACAGTTTTGGGATGTGTTAATGCCCACTTCATAGGGAATAATAAAGAATGCACACACATCTCTCAGTTAACAAACTTACCACTATCCATGATGATTACTGTCAAGGCAGGAAACTTGCAAGTATCAAGTCTGTAAACAAAAGAGGAAACATCCTGTTGAGTTTGTCAATTATGATGAACTTGGGTAAGTTTCTCTTGATTCCCAAATGTTACAAATATATCAGCACTGGAAACCCCTGATCAAGACCAGTCCCTCTGTTGAGTCCCACTGCTGCATGCAGACCCATTTCAGTAGTATAGGAACACTACCCAAAAAAAAGATAACTTGTGAAATGGTGAATGCTTTAACCTTTTTTCAAAGCTTTCCATATTTAGAACATGCAAAACACAAATATGAAATAGAAGGTGTGTACCATATTAAACTAAGCTGCAAACTCTGTTTTACCTAATTAAACTTGAAAGGTATCATGTTCTCCACTGTAATTACTTATAGCTGATGTAAGACTTCACTCCGCAGAGATCATCAAGTCAACTCATTATCTTTATGGATCAGATTTCTTGAAATCAGAATGAATAAATGCAAATTCATTCAGAGTCTGCTACTGATTAAAAAAGAATGTCTGCATAAAGTTCAAGGGCAGAACAAGACCTGCAATTTGGCAAAGGAACTTGCAATACATGAGAGCATCCCAACCTGCCCTACAAGAACTTAGATGTACTTTATACCTCACCTTGGAAAGACAACAGACAAGAGATGCGAAGCTCATTGCATCCACCAGGCAGAGAGCCAATAAGAACTGCATCTCAAGGCAACAAGAGTAGTTTGAAGGACTGTGTTTCTTTCCTTCGAGTATTTGTTAGTATGGGAAAAGTTAAGAAAACAAAAGCTTTCAGCACAGTAGAGAAAGGTGCAGCTGTC